GGGAGAAGGGGGATGCAGGCAGGGAGTGCAGGGGTTAGGGGAGAAGGTGGCGCAGGTGGGGAGTGGACTGATACCTGCATGTCCTCAAGTGAGTTTAAAAGCAGCAAGGATTGATGGCTTGGTTGTGAAAGCACCAGAGTCTGCAGATTTGTATGTAAACTTTTTATCAGCACAGGGCTATTTGTTTGTCTCAGATATAAAGGAAAGTGCTGCTGAAAGACACCACAGTTAAAAGGTTCTTTCTTTCCTTAGGTGCAGGGCTGCGGCGAATTAACTTGTTAAGCACACCCAGGCTAACAGAAATCTAGTGCAACAGATGTAATATGTAAGGAGTATGTGCAACAAGCATGGCTTGTTCTCTCTGTCAGCCTCTTGCCGTCCTCCTCCCCCTGAGGCCATCCCCATTGGCATCTTTATTGTGCTTCTGATTTAGACTGATTTTATAGACTGACTCAGAGCAGCGCTCCTATAAATTTATCTGCCTATAAATACTCAGCACTTACATCACACCTTTCAATGAAAGATCTCAAAGCACTTTACAAACATACGTATGTGTCATTACAGATGAGGGAACCAAGGCACAGATTATAAACCCAAGATTACATTGTGGGTCAGTGGCAGAGCCAGGAACCAAGCTCACCACGCCTGATTCCCAGGCAATGCCCAAGCTATTCATCCACGCTGCCTACTCCTCCAGCACCTATGCATCTTTATAAACAAGTCTGCACTAGGGCGATGTCCCTCATACCCCAGTACCCTCTCCACTCGCATTGGACAATTGTGGATTCATTGTAAATCACAGACTCTGGAGACTAAAAAGACCAGTTAAAGTGGACCATCCAGTATTTCTCCCTGCCAACACAGGATTGTGCCCACCTGTGCATTTAAAACTCGCCTGGAGTTATACATGTGCCAAGCAATAGGGCGTCCACTGCTTGCCTCAGGAGATCTCGCTGAGGACATAAAGAGCTATGGTAAATTGTTCTGCAGCATTGATCCAAAGCATTACAGCTTATGATAACACTTAGCTGTTAGATTGCATTTTTTAGTTCTCAAAGGGTAGGTGCCCAAGCTGTCTGATTCCAGGTGGTGAGTTCCTGTCTGGGGATTTTTAAATGGACCTAGGTGCCTCAAGACAGCTTGGATGTAGGTGCCTATCTCTGAGAAAGGGGCAGGGCTTAACACATGCCTGTTGTTGGTCTCCCCCATTGCCTTGCTTACGGAGGGAGCACCAGGGCTGGCTTTTGTAGATGGGATTCTTAGGCACTATACATTGTACAGGGAGCTTTGGTGCCTAACTCAGCTTTGTGGATCACAGTGTGTTCTTGTGATTTTCTAGATGCTGTGACACTCAGCGTTGCAACAACTAAGTCCTGTCGTGGATCCCTCCCAAAGTACTTTACAGAAAGGGAGTAGCATCATTATCTCCACTTTATAGATGGAGAAACTGACCAGGCAGAGCAACTTGCTGCAGTGATTAGGACTGGGAGGCAGATCTGATTCCCAGACTTGTATCCAGCCCAGAAGACCCTAGTTGCTATCAGTGTTCTTGCTGTGCTTTGCACCATTACTGCAGAATTCCGCTGTGGGAAATGCCAGGTATTAATTATTACTATTATTTGGGCATCACTGTTTCCACTCACACTTCCTATCATGCAGCCCTGCGCCTTTGCTGATGGACAATCATGTCTTGCTCTTTTGACACTTAGACACTGTTCATTTGCTTTGGGACATGGTTTTATCATTTCATTGGAAAAACAAAACAGTCCAAAGCCATTTCTTTTTGTTTTCCTTCCCCCCCCAGCTCTTCTCCTCCTCTTGACCTGCAGGTAAAAAACTGGTGGCTTAGACCGGTGCAGGGGGGAGGGGGTGTTAAAATATGTACTTCAGACAACTGAATGAGGAAAATAACAGAGCCTGGGAAAGAGGAACATACTTACTTTATCTGAGACATGTTTTTAAAAGGGCTGAGTGTGTGGTGAGAGCTGGCCTAGCCATGGCCTGCTGTAGAGAATCCTCTTTCATTTCAATTCCCCAGGATGAAAAGGTGATGCTGGCTAATTTGAACCTAGTCATTAGGACCCCCCTTTCAATTCAAGTAAGCTCTGTTCTCTTCCTCAGCCTGTGGGCCTTTGTCTGTTGTTATTAATTAGGAGACAGGGAAATTGCTTTCACCGTAAAACTTGCACATTCTTTGCTGGAAGCAAAACACTGATCTGATTTTGCCTGATGGAAGAGCTTTTTATGCTTGCTGGACATGAGTGGTGGGAATGCTTCACCTCCCAGAAGACAGCAGTTTAGCACAGCTCCTATGGGCTAGAGTGGGACAGGCAGATTACTGACAGAGTAGGAGAGGCCCAGCTGGAGTCCAGCTACAGTGGTGGATCCCAGTTCACCGGGACGTGTTAGCAGGCAGGATGGATTCTCACTCTGGAAGCCACACATGGGCATGGATTTTAGTGGTGGAGAAGATTCAGCTCCAGAGAGGCATATTTGAAATGTTCATAAAATAGATACTACAGCACTGGTCCCAAATGCTGTAGTGACTACACTATAAACTCTGGCCTTAGAGATCATGATCGCAGAGCACTGCCTTATTGCTTTCTGTAAAGGCTCCTAACTCGTGATGTCTGGTTTATGGGGGAACTTCCCTTTTTTTCCCATGTACACATTCTGGAGAGATGAATTACTCTAGTTTGCACTCTTATACCTCCCATCATCCCTCTGTAAGTATCATTATCTCTCTTTTATATAAGGGAAAACGGAGGCACCAAAACATATGATCTGCCCAAGATACAAAGGAGGCAAGTGGGAGAGTTGCAGGGCCATAACCAGGGTGGGGCAAGCAGGGAAACCGCCCAGGGCACAAAGCCGTGGGGGCGGAAAATGATGGAAAGAAAGGTAGGGGCACAAATATGCTTGCTCGCCCTCAGCACTAAAATGCCTAGTTATGTCTCTGGATATATACAAACCCATGTATACAAGTTTTATGCAGATGGTTCTTTTAAAATTTATTATCTTAATGTATTCAGGAAAGTGGGGCCAGGAAAGATCTTTACAAATTTCAGTTACATCGACACCAGCGGGGTGCTTTTTGGCTTGCATCTATCCCTGTGGAAACAGAGCAGAAATGGTGGAGGCACCTGGACAATGGAAGAGGGAGTAGCATATATTTTAAAAATGTAACTTAATAAAACATGCGCTTTTCACATTTTGCTTGTGTGTCTTGTCTATATCAACTGTAAACTCTGGGGGCTGGGACTGTCTTTTAGGCATATGTAGAGCACCTAGCACTTCGAGGCCCTGATTCCGAGCAGGGTCTCTCTGCATGCTACTACTGTGCAAATAAATCATAACTACAGCCATTCTCGGCGTTCATCATCCAAAGGTCTCGCAAGGATTTGGGTGAGTTTTAAAGATGACTGACTGAGGAGGAGGGGATATCTTGGGGAATCTTAACAAAAGCTTTTGAAAATCCCAGCACATTTTTACCACCTTTATCTACTTCATTAGCTTAACCCTTCCTCCTTAGTAGTGGTCTGATTTTCAGAGGTGAAGAGTCAATGGGAGTTTTGCCTTGGGTTCAGTGAAGCTAGGATTTCACTCTGAAATCTTTAATTTTAATCTTAGACTATCCCACAGGGAGCCACAGCAGAGCAAAGTTCTAGGGGAAATGTGCTCTCAGTGGGTCCCTGTGCTGCTGACTGGACAGCTGCTTCTGCATTCTGAACCAAGTGGACCTTTTCCAAGGGTG